ATGAACAAAATTACTACCGGATTTCATCTCCATTGGTTTTGGAAAGTTTCTAGAACCTTCCCAGGTTGTTTGGTTTTTTATGTTCAATCTTTTTCTTTCTTGCTTTTTTTCATTTTCTTCTGTTATTTTATCTTACTTTACAATTTGAGAATCTTTTAAATTTGTGAGCATTTTTTGGAATCATATGAACATTTTGAAAAATACATGAACAACTTTTTGTATCGCAAAGGTTTCTTTTAAAATTCGGGAACATTTTTTAAATTACGGAAATTTTTCGAAATTTGAGAATTTTTTTGGAACACCAGAATAATTGTTTTGAGCGGCGAATTTTTATTTGAAATTCAGGAACATTTTTTTTGTTTTTAATGCAATTTATTTTTGAGTTCATGAATACCTTATGAATCAGTGTCCATTTTTTGAATTGTTTATTTTTTTGAAATTTGGGAACAATATTCAAAATTGCTGAACATTATTTAATCTTGAGAATATGTTTTCATAAAATCATGAACATGTTTTAGAAATTCTTGAATATGTGTACATTTTTTGAAATAGACGAACGTTTTTTGAATCCATGAGGATTTATAATTTTTTTAATATGCAAATATTTTTAAAAATCACGAACACTTTAGTATTTCCTGATAATTTTTCAACACCATGAACGTTTTTATGAATTCATCAAATGTCTTTTAATCCATGAGTATTTATCCATTTTTTGAATATTCGAATATTTTTTTAAATTACGAACATTTTAGGATTTCCTCAACATTTTTCAAAAATATGAATGTTTTTATGAGTTCGAGAAAATTTTATAATGTACACTTTGTTTTTTAAAATTCACAATTTGGTTTGAAATTCAGATATTTTTGTAATCCTGTATTATTTTTAATTTTTTAGGGGACTGTATTTATTTTAAATGAAAACACAAAAAAGTCTAAATCTTTTTGAGACAAAAAGAAAGAAAGGTGGTCATACCGCCCCGTACATGGGTTGGCCGAAAAGGTCACAGGGCAGCTGGGCATGTGTGTTTGCTCGATCCATAGCGCGTTGATTGCCAACGAGAGAGCTATGTCTCGCATCATGCGAGTTGAGGGGCTATAGTATTGGGCAGGCCCGTTACGCGCGCCGTGCAGAGTTAAATACAGGGAAGAAAAACGAGGAGAACCCAGCGATTGAACCCTGGTATCCGGGATGATGCACATGGCTCCTCCTGGCCACTCGGTTTGCGTCGGGTTCTTAGGTTGCTGGGCGCAACCATACTTGAGGCGAAAAGATCTTGTTTTCATTGTATTTTCTGTTTTATTTATGTTTTCTTATCTCTAGTTTTCCCCATTTTTCTCTATTTTATTGGGTTTTCTGTTCTTTATTTTTAGTTGTCTTCCCTCGACTTTCTTCATATTTCTCAGTTTTCACTGTGTTTTTTGTTTTCTTTATTTTTTTCTTTGGTTTTTCTTCCTTTCTTTCTTTCTTTATTCTTTCTTTCTTTCTTTATTTATTTATTTATTTCTTTCTTTATTTCTTGTTTTTTTTACTGGTTTTCTTCAAATATCAGATTAACATATTTTAAATACAAGATCAACAATATATCTATACACTTTCAAGAAATTTTTTGAAATTCTTTATTAAATTTTTTCAAACACAAGTTTAATATTTTTATAATATATGGTGTATATTTTTCATATACACATTTAACTTTTTTGAAATTATTGATTAACATTTCAAATACTTATTTATCATTTTTCTCAAATGCTTTATTAAAACTTTATATACATGATAAAAGAAATTCCAGATTTTTTAATACATGGTTAATATTTTTTATACGCATTTAATAATTTTCAAACACTTGATTAACATGTTTTAAATACTTTTCAACATTTTTTCAAATGCTTGATTAACATTTTTATACACATGATAAAAATTACTCATTTTTTAAATACATGGTCTACATTTTTTGATACACATTTTTAAAATTCCCCAAATGCTTGTCAAATACTTGTTCAACATTTTTCTAAACCCTAAACAAATTCATTATTTTTTTATACACGGTCAACTTTTTTTGTATACACGTTTAACTTTTCCAAATGCTTAATTAACATTTTTGAATACTTGTTCAAGATTTTCTTCAAATGCTTGATTAACATTTTTCAAATACTCTCATCTAAAATATCCGTATTTTTAGAAGTAAATATCATATATAAGTATATATGTTTATATATATGCCTCAAATAGATGTTAACCTCTAGAAAAAAATAGTGTTTGAACGTTTAAAAGTGTTTTAAGTAGCTCATAAAAAGCATTAATATATTTGGCCTCAGACAATAGAGAAAACAAATAAAAGACCAAAGGTGAAAAGGAAGGAAATACAAAATCAAAGAGAAAACAAAAACTATATAAAAAAAGAAATAAGAGGAAATAAAGAGATAATGAGGAAAAGGTTGAAACAAAATAGAAAAAAGAATCGACACAACATAAGAAAATTGAGGAAATAAAGCGTACGCGACCAATGCCAAAGATGCCGTAAGCAAGTGCGCCCCCCGCTTGCACTAGATGATATATATGGATTTTGCAGGACAGTTCGAGTGGGATATGGCAAACGAAAGTCTCCAAAGAGCTCATGGTTTTACCGAGGATATACTTATTTTAAAAGAAAAATATTTTTATATGGATATTTTAAAGGAAATGTCGTTATTGTATCAAGCTAATGCGGATTGATAAATTTATTCTTTGCCACTTCCATCTGGTGCTCGCCTCAGGAATTGACCCTCACTAGCAGCATGCTCGCCTTCTCGGTCACCACCTTCCCCATCACCTACCTTGGACTGCCGCTCTATCAGGAAAGTGCCAGCTTCTGTGTTGCTCCCGCTCGTTGACAAGTTGTCGAAGAAGCTCAGTTCGTGGAGGGCTTAGTTGCTTTCTCGCGGTGGGCCCTGATGCGGCATGCATGTGCACTTACTACTCCCCATGGCCCTATCTTCCCCAATCTTGTTATGAACCCAATTATATTTTATTATTCCATACACATGCACATACACATTTATACACACATTACGTTGATCACACAGTAAGCGTATTAGGTAATCAAACAAAATGTCGCAAGGAGATTAATACAGAAGTGCATGACATACATGTTTATGAAACAATTAAGTGTTTGACAAGTTCGAAAGGATTTAAGCTAGTGTAAATGTAAGCAATCAATGTGAACAACCGAGGGATGTCGTCTCGCTGTTCCGCTTTACATTATGCATCGAAAGGAAACAAATGAAAACAAGTTTGGCTTGTGCTTCTGATTCTGCTCCTAAGAGTCAAGGTTAAATTATCGTTTGGTTGCGGTGCTTCCATGTTCATCTTATTGTTTTTTTACCTCCCCTTGTTAGTGATTTTTCAGAGGTTCTTGTTTTAAATGAATTAAGTATTACTTTACTTTTGTTGCAAAACCTTGTGAATTGTGATGTTTGAGTGTTTGTTTAATATGTTGGGGGATTAGATGATTTGCC